ATCTCCCTTGTAAATAACTTTGAATTTTACTTACGGAGAAGCCTACCAGATCTCCTTACAGGAATCTTGCAATTACTGTAATTTGTGTCTCAATCGGATCAGCAGTAGTTTCTAATGAGAGACACTTTCTCCATGGCCTTTGTTAAGGGCCCAATTTGAGAAGAAAGACAAACAATGTGATTCTAAAGTAATGTGGATGATGCAAAGATAGAAATTCTGTAGGCAACTGTCCTTATAAGGGCTCCTAGTTATGAGGGTTTAAATTTCAAAATGAGAAGCATTTCACTTAAGAACTTGAACAGCAAGACTTTTACTCAGGTGCCCTATTCACAGAGGGGGAAAGGGAACACTATGTCTCTAATCTTTTTTTTTTTTTTTTTGCATATGCTTATGATTTCTTGGCAACCACATTCCAATATTATGCCAGCTAGGGCCCACAGAATTAGCTGTGTGATGACTTCCCTTTGTTGAAACTTAGCTATGTTACCCTCAGGACATTTGCCAGACTTCACTGATTGCTCTAAAGGGAGAGTGAAATTTAATTATGGCTCTTGAACTGCATGGTTTATATGTAGTCTCTCTGGAACCTTCCTAGAATTTGAAAGAAAGAACAAATCGAAATTGAAGGCTAGCTTTCTTACCAAAAGAAGAGAGTCCCATGTCAAGATTAAGTTATGGAAAACTCTGGATAACATTATGGTTATCTTCTACTTATTTTATTTAATAGCAATAGCACTTAGACTTATATACCACTTCACAGGGCTTTATAGTTCTCTCTAAGTGGTTTACAGAGTCAGCCTCTTGCCCCCAACAATCTGGGTCCTCATTTTACCCACCTCAGAAGGATGGAAGGCTGAGTCAACCTGGTGGGATTTGAACTGCCAAATTGTAGGCAGCTGGCAGTCAGCAGATGTAGCCTGCAGTACTGCTTTCTAACCACTGTGCCATCGTGGCTCATCAACCTGTCCAGTTAGTTAACCTGGTTCGCTGGAAAGAAACTACAGGCAGTCTTTGACTTATGATCAAAATTGGGAGCATTGTGATGTGAGTCACATCTGATTTTACAACCTTTGTGCCATGCTTGTTAAGCAAATCACCTCAGTGGTTAAGGGAATCACATGGTTGTTAAGCAAATACAGCTTTTCCCATTAACCTTGCTTGTCGGAAGCCGGCTGCGAAGGCCACAAATGGTGATCACATGATTCCAGGATGTTGCAACCTTCATAAATATATGTTGGTTGCCAGTTGCCTGAATTTTGATTATGTGACCATGGGGATGGTGTAAGTGCAAGAACCTGTTGTTAGTCACTTCCCCCACCCCCCCAGTGCCGTTGTACCGTTAAGCAATTGCTAAACAAATGGTTGTAAAGTGAAGGACTATCTATATATAGAAACATCTCAATAAAGGAGAATATTTGTAGCTCAGGGACATGAGTGTTCCTTGATGCTCTCTGAGCTTGCTTGTTTTCTTGCAAATATTTCATTACACAACCTATGTAATATCACTAGTGCTACTACGGGAGTGGGCTTTGCTCTCTGTTTATATTTTATTGGCTTGTTCTGTTAGTGGTGGTGGAAGTGGTTTTGATGTGATAGGGTGGTTTTATTAGGCAGTTCTTTGATTTGGGTATTGTTCACTTCTTGATTAAACATCTCTAACATGAGCACCACTGAAATGAACTCCAAGGCTGGACATAGTGATGCTTTACTTCAACACAATTTGTTTAATAACAAACTATAGGGTAGATATATATGTGATGCCAAATTCAAAACCAGAACATGAAAGCAGATTTAGTCAACATCTTTAAGACTTCAGCCAAATCAAAAAGTCATCAATAAATACATTAACAGTGGATTCCTATCAATTTAGTAACTATAAATATTGCAATTACTTTTTAGAAGTAAATGTATAAGAGGGCTGCTAACACAACAATTGTAAATTTACTAGCAAGCACATCTTATTAAACATAAGAACATAAGAGTCATCTTTTAATGAGATGGGCATCAAATCAATTTAATTAAATAATAATAATTTAAACATGAGCCATGATGGCACCGTGGTTATAATGCAGTACTGCAGGCTACTTCTGCTGACTGACTGCAATCTGGCAGTTCAAATCTCACCAGGCTCAAGGTTGATTCAGCCTTCTATCCTTCCAAGGTGGGAAAAATGAGGACCCAAATTGTTGGGGGCAATATGCTGACTCTGTAAACTGCTTAGAGAGGGCTGTAAAGCACTATGAAGCAGTATATAAGTCTAAGTGCTATTGCTATCACTTTAAAGAACAAACTTTCCATGTTACTATGTTTTTATTTTTGGCAGTATTTCTTAATCATTAACTTTTATTTGTTATTTGCTTTTTATGATGGATAAACAATCATTTTAAAAGAAGAAAATAAATAAACTGAGCACTCAATTGTTTCTAATACTCATACTAATCATAACATTTATTTCTACCAGCTGTTCACACAATCCCAAATTGTGATTATTAAACTGCCACTCTTTGGGTTTAATAATTTCACTGTTTGATGATGTGTACATAAAGGAAGATTTTTAAGATAAGTTAATTGATTTTGTAGGAAGAAAAAAATACAAAAAATACAATTGCAAAAATACATTTACATGCTTTTCAAAGGTGTTTAAGTAAAACATTGATACAAAAACCACTGGTGAACAGATAATCTACAAAAAGGCATTTCCTGAGGTTGCTGAACAATTAAATATTAATTAAAAAAAGAATGATCCTGAAAATTCATTTTGTCCCTTGAAAAGAATAAATGGAATTAATAATTGAAGGACATACCTGAAGTTAAATAACTTTTTAATTACTAAGATAGTGAATTTTGTTGAACACAAATCCTTGAAACAAATGAAGGATAGATGAAAGAGAATTTAGCATTTTTATCAAAGCCTGACTTTTTCCAAACCAAGTTTGCTATCTGTAATAAAACAATAAAATGGACTACAAAACTCACTGTTTGTATTAAATGAAATCGTGCCATTCCAGCTAATCCTTTCTCCTAAAAGTATTCCCTTCAGTTATTACCATCTCTCGTATTTCAACCCCAAACTAGGTACAATGTTTTTAATAAAGTTAAGCAAAAGTAGATTAACCTCTCTTTTAAATTAATTGAATCAGTCTGCATCTTATGAACTTTGTTAAATCACTCTTGGCATTTGTACTTCCCAGATAAGATGCCAGCATTTAAAAACTGCTTAATCCATTCACCCCTTCTGGGCATGCTTGACCACACCTCAGGATTTAACATGCTGGCAATTTTAAAGCTTTAAACTAATTTGAACTAGAACTAATTCAATATCCAAAATTTGTAAAAGATGTTTCATTCAAAGTATTTCCAAAATAGGAAGAATTGTTGTATGCAGCTCTTGGCCATTTGTTTTGCTTTGTAGAAATCTATATTATATAGGTCTGTATAATAAGTGATTAAAAGAGAAAAATAATAATTTTCAGAGTTTTGATTAGGAAAAATTAAAACACAAGTGTTAGCTCAAAAGTGCTTTTTTGTTCAAAAGGCAACTGGAATATTTTTTTTTCTTTGAGGAAGAGGTATGATTGCCATTGAAATGTCTAAGTCAGGGGTCTCCAAACTTAAAACTTATCAACTTTAAAACTTGTGGAATCAATTCCCAGAATTCCCCACCCAGCATGAATGGCTGAGAAATTCTGAGAGTTGATGTCCACGAGTCTTAAAGCTACCAAGTTTGATGTCCCCTACTCTAATTTATGGAAGGCACTTGAGCTGTTTGCAGATCAAGTAGGACACCTCAATATTATCATATCCAGCATTTAAAACAAATATCAACATTCTTTCTTCTAAGTTGGGAATGACATTGATTGAAAGCAGGACTTGAACTGTTTCCAGATCATTTTGCTCTATTTCATATATACAGTATATATACTGTAGATATACCAACATACATAAGAGAAGAATAGAAGATGTCTCCCCTTAGCTAATGTTGTGTTGGATTGGATACAGTTTCCTCCAGCAACAGGTGCTAAAATAATTATAATAAACCCTCATAAATAGGTTTCATACATTTGATAGAAAGATACACTTTTTGAAAATCACAGAAAAGATAATTTCTTACAAATGACAGTAAGACAGGTTCAATGCAATCCAAAGCTCTGTTTCGAGAATAAATCTTTTGAATGTTGGTTCTGTGTATGTTTACCCAAATGTAATCTGGACTTTGTGAAAGATTAACCCCAAACAGATGTGGAGATAGTTCTGGAGATAGAAGTTTGGGTGACCTGCAGAAGACTAGAAGTCAAAAACTCTTGCCACTTATTTAACTATCAAAACAGATGATTTTTTTTGATCATTGTCTATAAACTATATTGCTGAAAATAATAAAAAATGTTTGAGGAGAAGCAAGGGGAGATGTTTTGGATAAAAGGAATTGTGAGCTTGGCTCTGGTGTAGGGATCACAAATTCCTAGCCTGATTATGTTCTCAGAGGCATTCTGTTTTTAATTAAGACCATATATATCCTTACAGGTTCTAAATGATTGGGCTCAATATCCTAATTTTAAAAAGTAAATCCCACAAATATGATGATTTCACTGAATGATGCCCAGTGATTTGTTTGATCATCTCCTGTTTTCATTATGACGCCAACAGGATGTGACATCTGAATTTCTTATCAAAAACAAGAATCATCCTTTGCCTTATCTAGATCCCTATGGCCAGTGCAAAAATCCCATCTTCTTTTAGCCAGTACCAGTCATCACCTAGTTAGTTAACTCTGTATATGTACATCCTCAGCAGTAGAGAAAAAGGACACAGGAGTATAAAAATAACATCACTCATATCCCATAAATTATTTGATCACTACCGGGTATATATGACTCAAGCCAGAGAGACATTCCTCATTTACATCAGATGAAGAACCCATCTAGAATCTCAGTTATTCAAAGAAGTATCCACATCCCACAACCCCACATTCTCATTGACCAGCGTATTTATATTTTACTTACCAATTGGCATGATTAAAAAGAAAGGAAGCCAACACAGGATGAAACATCCCACAACTATTCCCAAGCTTTTGGCTGCTTTCTTCTCCCGAGAGAACTTTAGAAGCCTTACAGAAAAATTGGACTTCTGCTTGGTGGTAGAGGTAGTTCCTGCAGCTTCAGTGTTGTTCTTGCGGTGGATGCGGAGAGTCACTTCTTCTGAATGGGACTTCTCAGTCTTAAGACCACATGACAATCCTTTACTTTCCCTTCTGGCTACCACGTATACCCGGCAATACATCACCAGTATGATGATCAGGGGGAGATAAAAGGACCCAAGAGAAGAAAATAAGACGTAACTTGGGTCAGTGTTGATCTGGCAGTTTTTTTCATCTTCTGGAGCTGGTTGTCTCCAGCCAAAGAGGGGAGCTATGGATATCACAAGTGATAATGTCCACACACACAACAGAGCCAAGAGGCCTCTTTTTTCGGTCACTATGGCTGGGTATCTCAGTGGGTAGCTCACTCCAATATATCGGTCTATAGAGATGACACAAAGGCTCATGATGGAAGCTGTGCAGCACAGAACATCAACAGCTGCCCAGAGGTTGCAGAAGATCCTTCCAAAAGCCCAGTAGCCCAGGATGTCCAAAATAGCAGAAAAGGGGAGAACAGTAGAAGTCAAGAGGAGATCAGCCACAGCCAAGTTGATAATGTAGTAATGGGTTACACTTTGCAGATGTTTGTGACAAGCTACTGAAAGGATCACCACAATGTTGCCCAGGACCCCAAAAACAATCAGCCCTCCAAAGATGATTCCTAATAATATGGCCTTGGAAATATTTACTTGCTCCACAGTCTGGGTGCAGTTGAAGCAGTCAGAGATGTTCTCAGAGGTCAGTCCCATTATCAAAGCTGGTTAATGTTCATCCAGTGTGCTTGTGATTCTCCTTGCCCTTTCTTTGAAAGAGCCAAGAGCAAATATTTGATACTGTTTATTTCCACATTGTAGATATAGAAACTAATTGGAAATATTAGTCTGGCTTTATAAATGCAGAGGAGAAAGCAAAACCCGAGACGAATGAACATATTTGAAAATCCGCATTTCTTCTCTTGCATTTGCTCTGAAGAAAAACATAGGCCTTTTTTGTCCCATAAATAATTCCAAAGCAATTATAATGGAAGTCTCTTTGAAGTTTACCATACCTTGCTGGGTGTTTGAAACCATATTAAACACTGAGCTAAAGAGCTCTTTCTTAGTTGCTGTTTAGTTTTTAAAATAATACCCATAGAGCCAGATGCTTTTTGTTACAAAACAAGGAAAATTGCAGTTGTAGAAAGGCCATCAACTTCCAGACTCTTTAAAAGTTCTTCATGGAAAGATACAGCACAAATAACAGCAGAGTATTCTTTGCTCTTTGTTATGTCCTCTTCATATTTGACTTTGAAAAATCTTCCCAGGTGAAAGAAGATTGCTGTCTGTCACTCTGGCTGACACTTCTCAATGTTTAGTCTTTTCATCCATGACTAACTTTATGATTCCAAGTTGCCGAAGAAGCTGTAATAAGTGTAAAGGTGTGACACCTTGACCCAGCATATAATCCTTTTAACAAACAGTGCTTATGGGCCTGCTAGGAATGCGGAGGAGATGGTTATCTGTACTCTTCTGCTTGACAGATGAGCTGTTTCCTAAAGAAGTCAAAAGGAGAAAACACATTTCAAATGCCAGGCTTCTTGTTGGGCAAATATCCAATGGTAACATTTCCCCAAAATTAGGAATCAAACTTTACTGAGTTTTTATCATTGCATACAGACGGGGTGGGATTCAAATTTTTTAACAACTGGTTCTGTGGGCATGGCTTAGTTGGTGGGCGTGGCTTGGTGGTCATGTGACTGGGTGGACATGGCTTGGTGGTCATGTTACTGGCTGGGCGTAATATCATTCACATCGAGGCACGCATAAGTCATAAGTCACTTTTTTCAATGCCATTGTAACTTTGAATGGTCACTCCACACAAGCAAAGTACCAGCAAAGGAGGGGAAAAAAACTCCAGAGATGTTCCTGAGACAGGAAGTCTAGTCGTGCTAAGAACGTAATAAGGGTTAACGGAGAGGCAGTTTCTGTAAGCAACACCAGAATGTTTCCTTCCTGTCTTCCTTACAGGATTAGGCCAGTAATTTCTTCTAACAACCAATTCTCCAAACTGCTTAGAATGTTAACAACCGGTTCTAGAGAATAGGTGCGAACTGGTAGAATCTCACCCCTGCATACAGACTGTTGTTGACTGCAACACTGCTTGCTCATCAGTTGATGCTCCTCAATCTGATTGCTTCTTATGTTTTTTTTTTAACCAAACCACAACTCTGAATCCTGGGCAATAAATATGTTGCTCTCTGACAAATTGGCCATTGATTACCCTGCAGCCTCCCCCAGGGAAAAAAAGATAACATTGGGTCTTTTAGAGCAAGCAGGTCTATGCGTGTCTTCTCAGTTAACTCTGGTGCAAACAAAACAGTCTGCAGCTTTGTGTTAAGAAGAAATGGTGGACATTTCCATGCTGGCCTCACGGTAGTTTGCAACATAAAAGAACTGATGTTGCAGTGGTTTCTCTTCCTCTTCCTGCTGTACATTATAAATGAGCCTTACGTTAACTTGAAAGAATAACCAAGAAAGCTCTGCTTGCGCTCTGAGATGCATGGCTGAAGTTTTGATGCATATTATCTATGGAATTCTCCTTGCAGCCTAGTTTTTATTTGGTCTGATCAAAACAGATTGATTGGTATCAGGGAATCATCCATTTGAAATTACCTGAATTTAGCTCTGGGCTCAGTTAAAAAATACCTTCAGCATAGATGATGTCTATTGTAATACACATGCAGGAGATCACAGGGCCAGATTTGGGAATCTCTAATTAAAAGGCACAAGTAACAATGACTATAAAGACCAGTTGCTTATCTAAAACTTCTGAAAGTGAAGAAGAAACACTATTGGACCGTATGTCTGATTTGACAACATCAAGCTTCTCATGTTTCAAGATTAGAATGCTGGGCATTCATATAATAGAATAGAATGGAATAAGATAGGATAGGATAGGATAGGATAGGATAGGATAGGATAGGATAGGATAGGATAGAAATTTCTTGTTTTCAAGCAAGCAACAGCATGTCATTCCTGGTGTCCCAATTAGGCTTGTACATTAGACCACAATAGGAAATGTATCCTTGATGAAATCAGTACATGCATTTCTCTCTACAGAGGACAGATCATATGTCTCCACAGACTCAGTTTTGGGTGCTCCAAATAAGCAAGCACAGGAGTTAGTTGCATAATTTACTCATTTAGTTTCCATAGATTTTAAAATTTCCCTCCCTTCCCACCATGCTAACCCCAAGCACTCATCCCATTGTGTAACCATGAAATATCCCTTTCCTTCACAGATTCTCAGAGTTTTTCTTAGTCTCAGTTTCTTTATCTTGGGTTTGGCTAATCTTTCTTTAGGATTCCAGATTTTGTTGAATTCCAAGTTCCATTAAGGCTAGTCAGAATGGTTAGAGGTGTTGGGAATTATCGATTAAGAGCTCCTGGAAGTCACTAGGTTCTTTCTCTACCTTTTATTTTAGAGATGGGCAACCATGTTTTGGCTGATGGGAGGAAATAACATTCTTATCATTAGATTAAATTTGTTACATGATAGTTTATTATATTATTTTTTTGGCTGTCGAGTCTTCTGGAGTCTGAAGCTGATGCCATCAGAGACATCAGGACTGACATTTTGAAACTCTGGTTTATGGGTTGTGATTTGGGGGAGTTAATTCTTAATAGGTGTGTTAAGCTTATTATGGATTTATTTTTATTTCCCAGAAAAAAAAGAACACAGTTGGAAATCATACCAAGGTAATTGAATTGGTTTGCTGCCAAATTTCAGCGCAGTAATCTGGGGAAATTCCAGAAGCTACAAAAAGTTTAAGGTCCACCGATGAGTCCATCAACAAGAAGGTGTCAACCCCAAATTTATTAGGCAGAGAACAAAAACAATTGGCAATGCAAAGGAGGCTGAATAAGTGTGTTCTAGAAAAGCAAAAGGCATAGGACTATTCTAGACCCTGGATTATTAGCATGGCATTGGCATCCAGAACAACAGCAAGTGTCCTTCCAGCTACATCTGGACAGTCCAAAAACTGCATCCAGGACACAAAACATGTTTTGTATTCCTGATCTACTATTTCTCCAAAGGGCTGTTTCCAATTAAGAATAGCAAATACAATAACATCATACAACTCTTATAGGAATTATTTTCTATAAGACTAATAAAAGCGGAGGGGCGGGGGGGGGGGCGGAATGAAATTGTGCATGGGTTTAACCAAGTCTCCCTCAAGTAGAGTACAAATACACACTGTGGGAATCAAAAAAATAGCTTATTGATCTATTAGATTCAGTACGTCCTATGGATGATAGCAGGCCCCAGAAGAAAGTTTTCAGCTAGGATGGTTTCAAAATGTATCAGAACTATTTGTAATCCCGCTGAGCCATTGCTAACTGTGGAACATATTTTTGCAAAGTATGAACTTGGATGGATACGTTTAAAACAAGAAGAATGAAACTGTTGAAAATGAGGAACTGAAAGTAATATACATAGGTGTTTACAGAAAGTGACAGTGAAGTTGTGAAGCATGTATGTGATCAGAAGAAAAGTATAAAGGATAGGGTTAGAGATCAGCTCGGCAGTCCTTGCTGGACCTGATACATGTCATTAGATCCCATTGCAGTGGCTTATTTATGTAAGTGTATTACTGGTATTATATCTTTTATATCTATTCATTTCTTATGTTTCAAATTATTAGAAACAATAAACCTCTCTGATCTTAAAGTAAGAATTATTGCTTGTGTTGTTGTCTGTTTCCTGTTGGAACTTTCTTATGACAACATGCATACACACAAATCACAGTGGTGCTGTTTTAAAAATTATATTTTAAACTGAGATTTTGTTCCTTTAGGGCTTGGGGGTTTCTTTCCTACAGCATGGGTCAAACTAACAGCAAAGCTCAGAACATTGTGTTATTGCCAATTGTTTCTAACTTGAAGGGTCATTGCACTTATCTCTCTGGATGCAAGTGGATTTTGCATACAAATAGTATAGAGTACAGATTATTGGGTGCCTTGCATTTTCTGGCCTTTTGGACCCACTGTTTACAACTGTTATCCATGTTTGTGGGCAGAAGCTTGGTCAACTAAGGACAACAATCTATCCATCTCATAAATACTCCATGCAGTAAAAAAAGCAATCTCCTTGTCTTTAATAGGACACACTCTTCCTGCAAATAGAAACTTTGCTGGATAGCCCCAAGATAATAAATGATAATTGAACTAATAATTAATAGAAGATCATTTGATTTTAAATGTGTATTTTTTTTAAACAAAAAACTTCATCCAGCCATTTTTCTTCCCTTTTTTTTTTTAAAAAGGTATTCTTTCTTTAAAAAGCTGACGATGGTTATATTGCAATGGAGAAAATAGGTGAAAATCCAGACATACCTTTAATAAGAGAACATTTCATAGCCAATTGGTAATTGAAACATTAAATGTCGCCCCAACATCACCAAAAATAGGTCTTGGGGGAATGCGACCCAGTATAAAAATGTTAGGAGCTGGTGAATATTAGTAAGCAGACATGCAAATAAAAACATCACAATACATTTCTAGTCAATTTTCCTTTCATCACTTCTTCCCTGTTGATTGTTGTGGACTTGGGGAATTAAATAAATATGAGAAGTCCACAAAACGTAGGATGGAGGCATATCCCAAACAGGGAATAAAAAATATTGTCAACCTTGTCAACCTTACTTGGAAGGAAGAAGGAAGGAAGAAGGGAAGGAAGGAAGGAAGGAAAGAAGGGAAAAGAAAGAGGGAAGGAAGGAAGGAAGGAAAGAAAAAGGAAGGAAAATAGGCAGGTATATCATCTTTAGCTAAGGACTTCTTTTGCATAGATATCAAAGATCTCCCTTCACTTACCTCCTTGAAGCTCCCGAAACCCTCCTGTTGCAGGCTGGCTGAAAGGGAACGAATCATAGGCAGTCATCCGAATGGCACAGTGGGACACTTTACTTGCAAATAACAATAATG